AGCATTTAATTTCGTAAAGATTCTCACAGAACTCGTTGAAATACAATGTAATACCACAAATTACAGCATGGCCATCTGCAATAAAAAAAAATACATTTGATGAGTTTTTCGGGATAGGTTATAAATAATGTGAGCAGTAAAACTTTAACATAATAGTATTGAAAAAGTAATAAATGGTTTATTGTAAAAAAAAAAATAAGTAAAACATTTCTCCTACTATTCACTATATTAGAATACAACGAAAAAAAACTAATTTAACTGAAATACATACTATCTTTTGTTATAATTTAAAAACATTTTAAAATCTTCACAGTATAAATAATACATTTGTATATCAATTCTTCTATTTTAGTAAAAATAGTAAATCTTAATCATGAATTCTAACATTTAGTTATATAATATGTTGTATCCAAAACTACGATTTAAGAAGTTAATAGCTGATATTTTATTTACTAGAATTGCTCATAAATTATGTTTAATCTAAACACAACTACTAAGATAAAAAACCCCCTTTTTTATTTTTTAACAGAAAAATATACTATAAAAAAATTCAAACAACCGACTCCTTTCATGTATTTAATGAGTAATTACACAGCTAAATACCTATTTATTTATATTTTTTTTGGTATTTTTTCATGACATTGGTATGTAGTGTGTGAATTAAATACATTTTTAATTACTCCATCATGATCAATATTTGACGTTCAATGGCGCATAATTTCATAATATTATTTGCGTGGAATAAACTTGCAATGAAATTAAGATAATACATATTAAAAATATATTAATAAATTTAATTATTTTTCATATTTACTGACAAGATATTTCAAATAATTATTGATCAAACGAATGAAACGTTTACAAATTGAATTAAAATAAAACTTACCATCAGTGACTAACACTTACTATTTGATAAATTGATTTTTTTTATAGATTAGCAATGTATTTATAACGAGAAGCTAGTTAAGTTAGCTAGCTACGAACCGTATACAGACGAATGCATAACGACAACGTTAACAAATTTGTCAGGACGATAAAACATATGAAATTTTCTGTTCTCTCACTCACCACCAATTTCTTTAAGTCGACTTTATTTTTTTATTTTTTTTTAATTCAAGAAAAAATACGATTGCACGCGAAACCACATCATATAATTGATATATTTAGAGTGAAGCGTAAAATATATTGGTTTTGCAATGTTGTGTCCTTTTTTTACGATTCCTATTTATACAGCATTTAAAAAAAAAAAAAAACTGTTTTGTTTAGTTAATTTATAAATTAAATGAATATTTACTATTGAGCTAATATTAAAAACACATTATTTCAATTAAATTCTGCATGTATTCCGTGCGTTGTTAATTTGTTATTTATTTAATCCGTATAATTTGTAATATAGTGCTCATTGGCCATAGTAACCAATCATACAAAAGTGTATCTATGCAGAATTAATTAATAATTCTTTAATTTTCGAGTTCAATGAATTATTACATTACGTATTATGTATTTAATGCACCTGGGATGGTAGTACTACTAATTCTATAGATAAAATAGAATATAACGAAATACAAGAACATTTAAGCGCCTTCTTAAATTAAATTCGATATCATGACCATAGATTATAAGTCAGTTTAAATTCAATTAAATCATTATATTTCAAGAAAATATATTTATTTTTAGATTACAATCATACAATCAATGGTATTATAGGTAAATAATAACTGAAAAATAAAGTGTGTATTTCTTAAGTACCGATATCTCCTCGGCTCTGTCCGAATTAGGTCACTCTACTAAAAATGTTTATAATGCCAAGGATAAAAATAAGCGCCCCTTACCACTATTTTTTGTGGAACTTTTTTGGAATGATAATAATAAAGATGTTCATAATATTACGTCATTGCTTAACACAAAAGTGGTTGTTGAAAAACCTCACAGGAAAAAATATGGCCCTCCACAATGCCACAATTGTCAATCATTGGCCACACGCAAAATTTTTGTAACCATAACTCACGGTGCGTTAAATGCGGTGAAGACCATCATACTGAAAACTGCACCAAGGATCGCAACAGCCCAGCCAAATGCGCCCTGTGCTCCTTGGACCACACTGCCAACTACAAGGGATGTCAAGTCTTTAAGTCAGCCTCAAAACTAAAAGAAAATAAGAAGACTCCTCCAAGAGTTCCACCAACCACGGTTCCAGGATCATATCCAAAATCAAACACAAAAACATACGCCGAAGCTACCAGCAATAAAAACTTCCACTCGGAAGATATTTCTGTCTCATTCTCGCACTTCATTTCAAATTTAAATTCAATTATTAGTCCACAAATCTCACTTCTTTCTTCAGTACTAAATGCTCTTATCGCCAAAGGTACTATCTCCCCCTAATCATTTTTATAATATATTTCCTCATTAAAATTTTCCATTCTTACCTTTCTTATCTTTTTCTCATTAACCTATTATAATTTAATCAAACCGTCTCCTTGTTTTATTATAATTAATATTCATATTCATTGTATATTAACGTGCCTTATAACATAATTTTGTATATTTTGTAATTGTTGTCATTGCTATTGAATAATTCTATTATCTATATACATAAGTTAATTGTTGAGCTGTAATAGTCTAGATACTAAAAGCTAATAAAAAAAAAAAAAAAAAAAAAAAAAAAAAGTGTGTATTTTAAATTGAATATATAAAATAGATCATTTTTATAGGGAAATTAAACTATAGAATCTAGTTAATGTTTAACACTATGAAGTACGGACCTTTGTGTCAATAGACTATAACAGATTAAGTTTATTGAAAATTCATTGTTAATATTATACTAGACGTAATGTAACAGTGTGTTAAACCATATAAAGACTCATGTTTATATTTTACCAACCTTTGATCCGTCAGATAATAATTAATGTAGCAATCTTTGATATAATGCAAATTCTGTAGTAAATAATGTTTTGTCTTTTATGGTATAATCGACGGTAATTCGATTGTACAAGTTTCTTCTCGTTTATGTGAAATCCCTTGAGTGCCAACCAAATTAATAGATAGTGAATAAATAAAACGCTAAGTAAAACGCATTCATAACCACATGATTATATAATGAGTAACATCGTCGACAGCTTAAAATTAAAATTTCGATGAAATTTAATATATACGTAAATATTCCAAATCCATATAATATATTGATATTGTCGACCAACAAATCATATCGTTTTTACTACAGTTTCTCAGACTACTTTGTCGATAAATTTGTGCGTAATTCGTGTGTTTTTAATAACATGAGTTGTTAGCGGTATATGACTACGGACATCGAGGTTATCCAATGCGATTGAAACTGATTTCAACCATTTAATATGCCAACTAAAACTGTGAGATTGAATTTTATAAAATATGTACTGTTATAAAATTCAAAATGTATTATTTAATTGCTCAATAATAATAATAATAATAATAATAATAATAATAATATATACAGTTGATATTTGCTGGCTAACGCAAAACTTTTCCATTACTTCCGGCTGAGGACGTCCGTGCGTGAGGCGGCTGAACGGTAATTTTCCATCGCTTGTGATGACCGGACAAATCACGTTACGAGTCTGCCCAGCAGACACACGCACATACATATACCCCTAATTCGATTTCATCCGTGCTCCCATTCTTGTTTCCGCTCCCGACCTAACGCGCACATCGTTCCCGTGAGGTGAAGGGAGTCTGATGACGACAAACACGTTCGTCCGCCGATGTCTCGTGTAAGGAACGCATTCTGTTACAATGCGAGACGACTGTACCCGAACAACACGAAATAATAAAAAATCCAGACGTGTTGTATAATAATATTATTTACGTATAAGACTTCAACCCTTCACTACACAGCCCAACCACCCTCCTCTCAACACTCTGATATACGAGATCGTATTCCATACAAAATGCAACTATCTATTTCTTCTCTCTCTCTTACATATGCCCAATACCACTCCTTCTCTCTAGTTTCTACAATAGGGTGGTTTTTATCGTTCATTTTTTTGTTTTTTTTTTTTTATTCATATTTTATAAAATGTATTTGTTTATTCGACTTTTACGCTATTTTATCGTTATTATTGTCGCACATATCCTATTTCCAAATAACGCAAACATACGAAATACACGATAAAAATAGATTTCACGAAGATTTTTTTTTACGATCAAGTGCGTCTCACGATACTCAGCAGTTCTAATTTTGAAACATCGCGGCGGCGACATCGAGAACGATTGTCTAATACGCCAATGACTAAATCTCGGTGGCCGATATTTGTACTTAAGAAGCAATTTTCGTAGGTGAACTTTACTGTACAAAAATAAAAATCGATTTTATGGTCATAGTTTACCGTTTTGTTGGTATATTTATATAAAAAATATTATTTATAACCCACTGTTGGTTACTATTTCTAATAAATCCACACTTTTTAAGTATTTAAAATTTTACCAAGGCAAACAATTAACACGTAACCTTACTCGATATGATACAAAAACACAAGACACACTTGGTTTTAATTTACTGCTGAAATTTACTCTTGAATGATTTCTTGGTTTATTTTAATTAATTTTGTTCTTACATCCGCATCGTTATAAATACAATTATTTCATTTCTTTGATGAACATTATTTGTTTAAATATTCTATTGGAAACCGCAAGTAAAATACATTTGTATTGAATTTAGTTCGTTAAAACTTTTTTTTTGTTTAGAGACATTAAAGTTTATAATAAAATTTAACAAAAATAATGTAGAACGAATGCGAAATGATCGAAATTTGAAAACAGAATAATTATAAATACGAAAAATATTGACAATATCAATCGTTGAATGGATAAAGTTTGAGAACAAAATATGATGAATCATACAAAAATATCAGTGGTATAAAAAATTGCACGTATACCATAATGTATGAGAGTTACAATCATAACAGAATCATACAATTTATAGTTTAAAATCATAAAATTAATTGTTTAATATTTTCTTTTAGATCGGTTGGATGAAAGCAGAAGATCAAACAATATTAACGTTTCATGAGCGTGTAGTGGCTTCAAACGGTCGATTCAGCGTAAGTCATGAGAATTACAGAACTTGGTATTTACATATAAGAGATGTGGAAGAAACTGATAAAGGCTGCTACATGTGCCAAGTAAACACGATCGAAATGCAAAAACAAATCAGTTGTTTAGACGTCTTAGGTAAGTGAAAAATAAGAAAAATACTATTGTAGTATTGTATTTTAAGTATAGTTATATACTATCTTTAAGACCATAACCTAGGAGTCTTTAAACTATATCTTTAGGGTTAAGTTTTAAACGAGTATCAATTTCCACTGACCTTCTAAATATAATTTATAATCTAAGAATAATATTTAGTTAATAACTTGTTTTATATTTGTATATATTTAGTATAATCTTTCATCAAAATAAATATTAAACATAGCTACAATATATTTTTAAATACTGAAAACTCATTAAACTAAATTTCAAATGTATCTTTACGTACACTTATCTATATGATAAAAAATTAAATTTCTATGATTTTAAGTAGTATATTTGTAAAGTTTCTATAAAACTAAAAACGTTGTATGAAATTTAACTTTTTTTAGTTTTTTATATGAAGCCATTAAGTAAAAAAAAAATTGAAACCTCTGAGAAATTAACTTTAACAGTTGGAAATTAATCATTAATACTAAACATCTATAGAACTAAATATCTTATAGGTAATAAATGTACAAAATCATTTTATTATTATAAACAAAATTCAATAAAAATATTGAGAAAATGTATCAATTACGTACAACATACATTTTTATCATTCAAAACCTTAAATAACTAAACCCTTTCTACCTTTACATCTTTTTTCTAATTTAATAATTTATTTGATCTGTATTCGTTTTACTATACAATATATTTTAATATATTCTTGTAAAATCTGTTAAAATTAAATATTTTATGGATTTTCAGTCAAAAATAATCAATAAAATTTAATTTAATAAGGCAGCTCATACATTTATAAACAAAACATCACCTATTATATAAATATTTGGTATTTTGAGTTACTTTTATACTTTTTTTTCGATATACATTTGAGCTATTTATCTTGGTATTATTAATTATAAAAAGGATCACTCTTATTTTGCGATTCAATGAAAACATCCCAATTTTTAAAAACATTAATGTTAAGCTTTAAGTTCTGTCAGTTACACCCAAACTTATGTATTTATGTTTGTATGTATATTGTGTATCTATATATATATATATATATATATATATATATATATATATATATATATGAGTTTAAAGGTTTGGCCGCAAACTCAAAGTGTTTTGAATAGTTACGTCAATTAAACGTAACGATGTCAAAGTTGATCTAAAACTACATCACGAGATGCGTTTAAAATTCTTAATTTAACATAATTACCTACCAACTAATTCTCGACAGTCATGAAAACGAACACATTGTCGAATTATTCGGAGTCACGTGCTATATCTCGGGTTGTCACTGACCTATAACTGGGTGAACATGTCTCATACGCCTCACTCCAACCCTCCACCATAGAAATGATGGTATATTAGTGCATGCAAAGTTAATTCTACCACTGTTGTTAAAAATATTAAATGTAATCAAAACGCATAATATAATATCGTACTTGAACATTTGTACGAATGTAATATAATGACGATTGGAGCACGTTGCGCTTGTTCGTGTCACGTCGATACATGTAATATAATTAATTAAATCAAACCTTTTGTGCGTGGCAATACGGTTGCATTGTGCCGGTATATTAAAAACGACCGAGCAGGGTATATTAGTGTGTTTGTGTGTGTGTAGACTTCAAGTACAAAACTCGACAACTGAGTATTACATCGAAATCGTTATTTTATACTAGTATAAAACGAAAAATAAATACATTATACGTATTAAACTGAATAAAACGCACAATGCGGATCATATCCCCATCATCTCTCTCGTCCGGATCGACAACACGAAAAAAAGCCACGCCGACGATAATAGTGCTTATCGACATGTACAACGTTATGCGTCGACGAGTCCTTTACGGTTCAGTATCGTCAGCATGATAAATAATAATAATCGTAATATGAACACAATATTGTATAGAATAATAAAAATTAATAATTATATTATTAAAAAAAAAAACTCGTCAAGTATATAAACCATCAAAAATGTGTATTACACTTCGTTGTGTTTTTATTTCGGTTTCCCAAGTACGCTAATCGGTTTACCGTCATTATAAAAATGTATATACTTACAATATTGTGTTAACAACGGTTCGGTCACACGACGATGGCAATCAGCCATAATGACGTAAATAACCAATCAAATAGCGGATTTCTATCTATATTCGTTCGTTTTTTTTTTTCAAATTATCAATTGTTATTTTAATCTATACACGCATATGTTTTATTCTGATATTTTTCCCAGAGAATATAATATGAACGCTCGCGTTATTGTCGAGCCGCCAAACGTCATTTCATATATACGTATATTGTCATTAACAACATTGTTATGTTTGTCTTCGCCGCCCACCTCCGCATTTTATTTGCCCGCATTACTCGTGTGTGCAATAACCCCATTTTCTAGATGATAAATGGTAAAAACAGCCATTAAATCATTAATATATATTAACGAATAATATGTGCGTGACTTGAGCGCGAACGTATATTGTTGTGCGTAAATATACCTTTGAATCGATGCACTTATTACACCGGAATCGTTTCCGAGGTTTATTTAAGTATCAACACTTTGAATTTACCACATACGCACACGCATTGTCCATTGTCATGCGAACATTGTTCTACATTTACACGTATTAAATTACCCACTTAGTTTTCGTATCTATTAGATTTATGCATCCACGCATAAACCTATAACAACCTCTTTGACCTAGAAAATCCGTTTTCTGTTGTTTCGTGCGTGTGTAAGAGTAAGTTTGTTTAACCCATTTATGAAGTCAACCAAGAGCTCATCTGTTACAAATTCGTAGTATTTAGATTCGTCTTATATTATTTATATACACATGTACTGTTCTAAAGGATTTTCTAGATTTTTTTTCCCCGTATCACAAACGCAAAAATCTTTAAACAGCGTGAAAATAAAAGTAAAAAAAAAAATAAAATACTACAAAACGTGAAGGAGAAATACGTGCTTAGATTTTTGTATCGACAATTATATTCCTAATATTATTTGAATCGTTCTTCTCACGCCAATTTTGTTTATGCTTTTATGGATAAAATTACTTTAATGCGCATTCTAATGTTCACTTACAATACGCATTTTGTAAGACTTTGTACGACCTTTTTCCCAAATTTGGGAAGCGGCCATTCTATACCAATAATAAAACATACAATTTAATGTTAGATTAGCACTGGTCATACATTTTTAGCAATAACATTATAAGCTGATAGAAAGTACCGTTTAAGATACATGCAAAATTAAGAGAAAAAACTAAAAAATGTTTAAAATTCTTAACTATAACATAAGTTTAAGTAATGTTTATAGTCTATCTTATTATTGATGTCTTTGCAAAACATTTTATTGACTTTTTCAGCAAATTAACCATAAGGTCATTTAGTAAAAGAAAAATAATAATAATAATACATCGCATTTTCTAACAGAATTTTATAAGATGCAAAATTATAATTCGCATCTTGAAGATCTTTTTACTTAAGTCTTATTATTTTATGATAAATTTTATTCGTTAAACACTTTAATATAATATAATAAAAACACACAGCGACTTTTATCCATTTAAATTTTTGTATTTTTAAATTATTAATGTATACAATCAATTGACCTTTGATGTATTTTTAAAGTTATATTAAAAAAACAATCAATTTCCTAAAATTCCTATAATTTTGAATTCTATATTGTTGTGTTATAATATACAAGTATGTACTCATAACGTGGATGTTTTTTATGGGAGTAAAATAATAAATCGATTTAAGAAATTGTAATTATTTTATGTTAAGTGAAATGTTATAAATTGTTGTATTATTATGGCGTCATTTATTGTAAAACCATTAATGGAAACAATTGTAAATGAGCGATGAATAGAATATATTAAACAAGAAGGTGCTGCTGTTAAATTGCATACACAGAGTGCCGTGTTACAAATAAAAAGAGAAGAACCAACAATTATTATTATTATTAGTCTTTCGGTTTCGTACAACTCAAAACGAATAGCGTTTATACACTTTAGTTTCTCGACATATTTTCTAACAATGGTTGTACGAGTATATACAAAGTGTCTAAAAATACTACCCAAGTCCTTATCATAATAGTATGTCATAGGGTGTCATCGTTTAATTAAAAGCCATATAACTGATTTTTTTTTTATATACGTAAGTGCGCGCATGTGCGAGAATAACGAGCGTGTTCGCGACTTTACTTGTTAATTGTTGACTCTGCGAATAATTTGCATATGAGATAATGCTATGCGTAACGCGGGGCCGGATAATTATAAGCAGCAATAATACCTTCTTTGAAATATTTTACGCTGTCTTTGTACACATATTTATCCACGAACAACTCGGATCGACTAAATAATTAATAAGACACACACTCGTGCACGCAATTATTATAACAATATCATGTACCTCCAGCGTTTACCGGTATATTATATCGTATACAATTTCGTGAGATAATTTCCAAGCACGTTTATAACACATCGTTCCTTTCACATCGTTGTCATACATACTACCCGCCCGGTGGATATTATTACAATAATCGGAAGTTATGTTTTCGCATGATTTCGAGTCCTGCGTACACGTGTATCGTAGTGCCGTCTAAACGTGACAATAGATATTATACGTTGACGTCGATTCAAAGTTATTTCGAAACAAAACCACATTACCACAGTGGTCTCAAAAGTCGCACACAATAGGCACCCGACTACGATAACTGGTATCTAATATTATACGTACATATTTCCCGTTTAGCGACATGGGTGTTTATAATAATTCTTGTGTAAGGTACGATTATTATTGACTCATCTAACCTACAAATCGACTTAAATATGAAGTTTACGTGGAAGCGTCTTTGCAATGTTGTATTGTTGTGATATTGTGTGCGAAATTGAGCATACTACTTAACATAAAACGATGTTGTTGTAGTATTACACAAATATATAAACGTACGTACGGTTAGGTTAACTCATCAATTCGACGACAAAGTC